CCAGACTGCTGCCTGCCCTCAGCCTGGTCCCTTCGCCTTTATCCTAATGTTGATGAGCAGCCTGGTGCAGGAGCTCCAGGGCAGGCCTGAGTTCAAGTCCAGCTCACCCACTGAGGAGCTGTGAGCTTGGATGAGTCACCTCTCTCTGGTCCAGCGTGTCTGAGTGACAGTAATGAGCAGCCAAGGTTACTGAGCGCTGGCTGGTGAGGCGTTAAGGGCTTTATGAGAACTAACCCTATCAGGACCTGGGGCATTCCCAGCTCCTGGTGGGGGCCGCGCAGGCCACTGATGCGGTGGTCCAGGGCTGGAGGACACAGCCATGGCCTTGAGCCCCCTCTGTGACTGATGCATCTCAGCACAGGCCAGAAGGGGCAGCTGGAGCTCGGGGACAAGAGCCAGGTTCTTCTGCTGCAGGAGGGGCAGCTGGGTGGGCGGCAAGTGAAGCCTTGTGACTTCGAGGACATGGGACCAGGCAGCCAGGTCCCCACCTCGGTGTGGTCTCCACCAAGCGATTTAACCTCTTTGAGCTCTGGTTCCTCGTCTGCACACTTGGGGCACCACCAGACCTGCTTTCTGGGGGTGGGGGACACCATGGTGCAGCAGGGGTCAGTATGCGAGAGGCTGTCGCTTCTGCTCCGGGTCGTCTGCGCCTGTGAAGCCAGGTGGCTGAGGCTGCCCTGTCTATGTGCACAGACCTCTTTGGCTGCCTCCCAGCCCCAGGAAGTCACCAAGGGTGCAGGGACCCGGAGGCAGTGCCTTCCTGGCCCTGTGACTCACCCTGAGTCCCAGAGACGATGCTCAGCGGCACACAGGTGGTGGAGCCCCATTTCCTGCTACGACCCCAGTTCTGCGCGTGCTCACCCACACGTCCCCCACATATGCTGCTCTGCATCCACGGGGAGCCCCTGCGGTGGCTGGAGCTGCCTCCCCGACCCTTCCCTGGGAAAGCATGCTCATCTGCCAACGTAAGGCCTGGACTCTCCCAGGGAAGGCTGGGCGGGATTCGGAGAGGGGCCGTGGGGTCAGTTCCCCACAAACGTACACAGGATGCTTTAAAATGTGGGGCCGGGTGAGCTGGTGTCTGTCCCCTTCTCTCCTAGCCACGTGCCCCAAGGAAGTGAACTC